GAAGAGAAGACTAGAGGCTAGTGCAATATCCAGACAACAGTGAGAGATTCGTTATCCAGGAGTAGTTCAGTGTGTGTGAACTGTTGTAATCACGCGAAATTGTAATAGAGACGCCTAACAAGCCGTGAAAGCCCATAGATTTGTGAGATGTCGAGGCTCCCACATTTTCTAGACAATCGGCTCACAGATGGCGGTGAGATCAGCCTTACGTACCGGTCGCTCTTTACCCGCAGGATTATTCCTGATACTCATTTCTCTTAGAGGCTAAGTTGACCCCAGGGCCATGGTGCGGCTGGAAGTATCGGGTCAATTGAAAAAAATCCAATGACTTCATCAGAAATCGAACCCTCTACCTTCAGGCTTGTAGCATAGTACCTCAACAAACTACGCTACCGCGTGCTCCCACAATATGACGTCACAGGATAATATTAGTTAGAGGAGATTTGTATAAATAAGTAACTACATTTTAGTCACATAATTGGTGACGCAGGTAGTTCTATGAGTTAATTAAGCATTTGGTGGGTTAGTCGCTTGCACACCCCCGTTTCCAGACTGGCCATGGCCCTGGTTGCTAGCTCATAATTCTGTAAAACCATAAGTTCTAAAAATATGACTCTAGAGGAGCGTCTATTCCGTTTCGTTTCCCCCCCCCCAATATAATTACGGCACGCCATTAATCCTGAGTGGCCTCGCCCATATAAATCTCATGGCCCAGTGCTAATTGCCTGTCACCCACCCGCCTCAGAGAGGCATTTATACTTGTAGGGCTCCATGCTGCTCGACATTGATATGTCATGACTTTATGCTGCTTCACAGTGAGATCTATTCAAAACGTCGCACATTCGTGACACAGTAATTTCTGAGAATTGGCCCTATAGATGTCATCACATTCGTGTGACTTCGTAGCATTCCGGAAGGAGCCCTGGACATGTCATCACACCTGAGTTTCTCCGTACAGTTTCAGAATGAGCCCTGGACATGTCATCACACCTGAGTTTCTCCGTTCAGTTTCAGAATGAGCACTGGACATGTCATCACACCTGAGTTTCTCCGTACAGTTTCAGAATGAGCCCTGGACATGTCATCACACCTGAGTTTCTCCGTTCAGTTTCAGAATGAGCACTGGATATGTCATCACACCTGAGTTTATCCGTACAGTTTCAGAATGAGCCCTGGACATGTCATCACACCTGAGTTTCTTCGTACAGTTTCAGAATGATTCCTGGACATGTCATCACACCGGAGTTTCTCCGTACAGTTTCAGAATAAACCCTGGACATGTCACCACACCTGAGTTTTTCCGTATAGTTTCAGAATGATTCCTGGACATGTCATCACATCTGAGCATCTCCGTACAGTTTCAGAATGATTTCTGGACATGTCATCACACCTGAGTTTCTCCGTACAGTTTCAGAATGAGCCCTGGACATGTCATCACACCTGAGTTTCTCCGTACAGTTTCAGAATGAGCCCTGGACATGTCATCACACCTGAGTTTCTCCGTACAGTTTCAGAATGAGCACTGGACATGTCATCACACCTGAGTTTCTCCGTACAGTTTCAGAATGAGCCCTGGACATGTCATCACACCTGAGTTTCTCCGTACAGTTTCAGAATGATCCCTGGACATGTCATCACACCTGATTTTCTCCGTATAGTTTCAGAATGATTCCTGGACATGTCATCACACCTGAGTTTCTCCGTACACTTTCAGAATAAACCCTGGACATGTCATCACACTGAGTTTCTCCGTATAGTTTCAGAATGATTCCTGGACATGTCATCACATCTGAGTATCTCCGTACCGTTTCAGAATGATTCCTGGACATGCCATCACACCTGAGCATCTCCGTACAGTTTCAGAATGATTCCTGGACATGTCATCACACCTGAGTTTCTCCGTACAGTTTCAGAATAAACCCTGGACATGTCATCACACGTATCTCTTTACTATTCAATTTTGTTCTTTGATGATTAAATTTCGAGGAATGCATTTGGGCTTCTACTCGCAGCAACGTAATGTTAACTCTCACTGTTCTTGTTCCTTGGGCCTTTGGATCAATTCTCGGCCAGGATTCCGGCAATATGGAGGTACGTTTTTCGGATATTTTCATCTGTTACCTCGAAATCACGATGGGATTGTGGCTTTACATTGGCCATGACTTCTTATTTGCCTCTCTTTCTCACTACAAGTTCATTATTTTGCTTTAATTCAGGCTCCATATAATCCACATATTTGATGAAACTGTCATTATATTGTCTACTACAAACAGGTACATGGCAGGGGATTTTCTATCCCTTTATCTAAGATGGTTATTTAACGACACCCGGAGTATCAGACTGCACATGGCCAACGGTAGAATTATTGACATTAATGAATGTGGAGAAATTGGCGGGTGTCCCAGATAGGGTTACATGATTTGGATATGATACTCACCTGGCTAGAATTTCGTGAGTGGAAATGGTAATTCGGGCTCGAATATTCATAGTTTCCTCCGATCTTCACTTGAAACAACGCAGCAGTAGGTACAGATGCTGACCCGCGGCTACTTCCAAGCACTTGTCACCTCAGTCTGCATAACCAACCTCACATCACTTAGTATTGTCCAGTTATCAGAGTGGTTTGTGTTTCTTAATTAAAAGCGGATGGCGCGTGAAGCTGACCACTCACTGGAATGGAGGAGTGAAGTTCATGATATAAGATCTGATGCTTTCACGGCGTCTAAAATTGTTAAAAATTATGGACGTTTCAGGGGCCACCTGTCTCCAACATCAGGGTCTGATAACATAACTAACGAGGGTAAAAATGGTTGTCTTGTGGAAAGAAGGGAGCAGGATTCATTTCCGAAAGACATGATTTCAAAATTTACCCCAATAGATGGACGGAGGGGAAAAAAAGTTTTAACCCTTTAAAAGAAAAGGCGAAGCTATCCCTGTAACAGGCCGCAGAGGCCCATAGGGCTGTGTGACGCCGAGGCTCCATTTTCTAGAAAAATGGCTCACAGATGGTGGTCAGGTTGCCAGCCTCACGCGCCGGCTCCCCTTACACTCAGAAATATTCCTGGTACTCATTTCTTTCAGAGGCTGAGTCGATCCCAGGGCCATATTTCGGCTGGAAGAATTAGGTCAATTGAAAAATCCAATGGCTTAATCGGGAATCGAAACCACAACCTTCCGGCTTCTACAGATTGAAAATCATCTAAATACCATATAAACATTCAGTTCGTACCTCACAGGAAACACATTACATCTCGGCTACAAAGACCAACCGGATAATGATGTTTAAGAACAAATCGCTGTTTATTTTGAGAACCATACGGAACACAAAAATTCACTCTGTGGTCAGCGTGCCAAGGTTCAGTTTGTTATAGCAAGTGGTACATATATGTGGAACCACTGGCCTTCAAGCGGTTGAGTAATGTGATATACGACTTTAAAGAATCTTTCAATATCACATACGCCTATTTAGGCCAAATTTCTCCTGATGATAGAGGGCATCTCAGGGGAGGTTTAGATTAAGAGTCCTGGAGCTGTACCTCCACTCTCCCAAACACCTCCATAGCGTGATGCTAAACCAATCAAAGAAAGTGACAATTTTTATTTTACATTGTTATTCGTCCTAGTGTTAGTATTTTATTTTTGTTTTTGATAGACCCTAAGCATATTTTACTCTGTACTTATGTCTATATATTACAATTTTCAGAATTAACCTTTCTCCCAAAAGGCCCAGGTTTGCGTTGCAATCTCCATAAAATTCGATCTCTTTGTGTTAATTTAATTCAGACGGGGGCATACGGAATGTAATTGGTTGAAGCACTAAGCTACAAGCCGGAAGGCCGCGAGTTCAATTCCCAATGAGGTCACTGGAATTTCAATTGACCTAGTCCTCCCACCTGCGCTATGGCCCTGGGGTCGACTGGGAGCCTCGACGTCTCACAAACCTATGATCCTCCACGGTTTGTTACAGAGATAGCTTTACGATTTGTATTATGAAGAGAATATATTTTTCAATATGATAAACTTCCTGATTACACTCCTAGGAACGCATGTGGATCGTCTCATGTTTTATATATATTTTTACATTCAATTTAGAGAAGCCTCATCCCTTCACTCACTGCACATTTTCGCTATTCAGTGATGACTTACAGCTACTTTTCTACCCACAGGTCTACTATTTCGTATCGTCTACACAAATGCCTAAATTAAATTTAAAGTTTCAAAATAAATGCCTAAACACTTATAAGATGCATCTCTTTCCCGTCACGCAAACTATTTCGACTTCCATTATCCGGTACATTTGATAGTCATCAAAAGTAGCTGAACTCACCTGAACTGGTAGGCGTCCAGCAGCCGTACAAGTACACAAGTGGGTTAAACGTTGAGAACATTCCAGACTGTAGTGCATGTGATTCCTTGGAGCAGCAGCGCAACCCTGCCCCTCCTAGTTTCGCCCCTGCGTACGACTCATTGTTGTGGTATGTCATAATCTGCAGATCACAGTGGTCGCGCGGTAGGCATGAACTGTCTTCGCTTGCTCGAACGCTGGGATCGTGGGTTGGAATCCCAATCAAGGTATGTTTATTCTGTGTTTGTATTGTTCTCAGTGTAGGTAGAGGTCTTGTGAAGGGGGCTAATTCCCCATTCAAGGAGTCCTACAGACTGTGTATTGGATTGAGAAACTGAAAAAGCCACAAAGGCTCAACAAAGGGCCGTAGAGCCATAAAAATATGTCATAATCTATACGTTAATTTGCATTCTGATTAAAGAGCAGCTCAAAAGTGTCTCATTTTATCAGTACACAGATCAGGAAAATGTAAGGTTATGTGAACAAGCGTCATTATAATACTTACATGGTCTGCTGAGCAAGTCGCCATCTTGTCGGTGTGTTTACATTCTTTAGAGCAGAGACTGTATCTACTTTTGGAGCCAGTGCAATGATGATTAGTTCGTGAGTGAGTCTTGGTGTCGCTTCCGCGAAATAGTTCATATCAACCTTTGTGCTCCGACAATTTATTATATAACTTGAGGAGTCTACATTAAAACCAAATTTATATATGGGGTTCAGAAAAAAATAATTCCCTGTGATCATTTACAGTTCTTTATTCATATTATTCAGCCTCTCAGCATTTGAATGCAGAGATTCTGATACGGATAGATCACGCTCCTTCTCTCTCTATCCACATTCGTTCTCAATTATCACCAATCGCAAAATTTCATGCTTTTATTAAGTTTATCACTTGTTTCGTCGTCTGGAACACATGTGTGTGTGGCTACATGTTTTTCTGCAACACAACCACCATCATAATAACCAATGAGTCTCACAAACAGACCGTCTATTTCACACGATAGGCTCGAAGGACTTCAGTGAAAGTGGGTATGTTAGTTATGCCATGTGGAAACGATTAAGTAACTTTGGAATATGGAACACTCTTCCGTTTTAACGCCGTGAACTTCGTTCTCTCCTGCACACAAAACTTCATATTTACTGCATTAAAACACTAGGCGTTTTCGCAGGAATAACACTGATTGTCACGTGCTGACAGCTAAACCAACCAGTATCGGTCAGGCCTCGCTATTGTTACTGTACATGAATGCAGTAACTATCTGTGTTGTATCGTTGGGCTTACGACAGCGAAATTTTGGTATTTTGGATCTAACTAGAAAAATACATGATAATAAATAATATGAAAACACTTTTAAATAGTTTTTGATAACACGATCGGTGGCACGACAACTTGGAATGAAAATAATATGGCATGTTCGAGATGGAATCTATCTCGCAACATCGCAATATATAGCTCTGACTCTGTTCACGCCAGTTACTCGCCGTCTTTCTCTTATTAGTTCTGACGTAACACCACTGCAGTTCTGCTAGACGGGTGTCTCTATGTCTGTAACGTCACCAGCTTCACCAGTAACCTCCAGTAACGGTTTGTTCAGCTCATCAATGAGGAAACTTCCTTCATCGCTTTGGGCAACTGAGGTAGAATATATGGGATTGACGCTGCCACTTCCTGGGCTCGCGGGTGCCGAACTGCAGACCGTGGGAAATAATACCGGAAAACTATTGTTCTTAGAGTTAACACTTGAAGGCAGCACCTTGATGCAGGGGCAGGACGTGCTGCAACGTTCAGCGTCCAAGAGATGCGGTGCAGTCTTCTTGCAGGGACTGTTATCTGCAATAGCTTCCAGCATTGGGTCCCTTTGGTAACGATGGAGTTCCAACAAATTTCCGCTGGCGAACCGAAGTCGTTTTGGTGATTCTAGGCTGGAGCACCGCGCTAGGGGCGGACACGCAGAGCTCTTGCTCTTGAGAGAGCTGCGAGGCCCCACACCACACAGATATCCGTTGCTGTCGGGGAGTGTCCGGGTCTTAAGCCCGACACGAGCCCTCTCCTCGGCGCGACGTTGTCGGTGCACAGGATCCTCTCCCAATAGCCAAAAGGTGCGCTGCTCTCCCTTGCCTTTTAAGGGGACCAGACCACGCTCTGCTAGCGTGTAGCCTCCCACTTGGTCCAGCAGTGCCTTGCAGTCCGAGCTGCAGTGGATCTTCAGCGCTGCACAGAAGCACGTTACACGTTACTACTGTGCCATACCTTGAATGGGCAACCTTATGGAAGAAAAGTTTTGTGTTCAACAGGAAATTTGGCTTGGTTATTTTGGTGCCAACTGTAAGTTAAAATATACTGTAGTAACTTCCTAAGGTTGAAGTAATTATTTGGATCATTATTTGAAATTGATGCGACTTCAAAGAAATTTAGATTAAGTTTAAGCAAGCATGAAACTGGGATCTCCTTGAACTAGACTTTATAAGACACTCTACAGAGGCTACAGGCAGTCTAATGAAGTGGTAATAGGGCCATGAATGAATAAGGGGCTGGAAGGAAATGTTGTTATACATTTCAAAGTAATGCCAAGAAACATGGTCATTTTTCTTGCCAAATCGGGACAACAGAATGCGCCATAAGCACTCTATCCGACTGGACGAGGCATGAAGGTCGGAAAGCATGATTCTTTCGAGTTTATTTCTCGGACAGTATCTCAGAAAGTATGCTGAAATTTTAAACGTTTAACATAATTTCTTTAGATAATAGTAAAAAAAACTTATCGCTTCAAAATACGCTTTAGAAGCTAATAGATAAGAAAGTTAATGTGTCTTGAGCCGAAATGAAATTTGTCCGAAAAGTGTACTTAATTTCGGGCAGTAAAGTACGGGAGGATAGTCACACCAATACGTCTTCTCTATTTTGCGTTATGTACTTCTGATAAACAAGAGAGTAATTTGTGATCATGCATTGATTGCAAGTAAAAACTTTCGTTTCGGAATATAAAATTTGCTCTTGAACATATGCGTACTTGCCTGACCAGATCTCTGTCATAATCTAACACGTGTGCGGTACTCATGTGGAATCACATGTGTGGTACTCACGTATGCCACTTGACTCCATGCGGCTGGCAGTGTTCACTGTGTCCCCGAACAAACAATAGCGAGGCATCTTGAGGCCCACGACGCCTGCGCACACGGGACCTGAAGACAGTGGTAGTCGTTATCCGTAAACAGTAAGATTAACAAACGCTCTGTCTATTGCACTGGATTTATTTTGGTTTTATATTTACTACTTTTAATTAGTCATTATCCACTGTAGATATTTCCTGAAGACGTGTGAATTTTTGAGCGTGCAAGAAATGTGGTCTGCTACACTCTCGGGAACTTACCTCAAACGGATATTAGGGTAAAGGCGTCGGTTTACTTTTAGCTGAGAGCGAAATTTTGCGTTAGTGAGTATATAGCTGTGTTATAAAAATACGTTAGTTTTATGATGTCGCTTGTGCTAAGCAAACTAATGCGCAAGATAGAAGATAGATTAGTGGAATACCATCAGATGTCCTGCATGAGACTACATGAAAATGAGTAGATTTCGTGGCAATTAACGACTAATATATTGTCACGTGTAGGCAGGTACGTGTGACGAAAACATTGGGTTCTAGTTCGTGTGATTGGATTTATTATCACTTCGGTTACAAGTTCTCTTTTAATTACAGTTAATGCAGCGCTATCGCTGATTTACACACTTTCTAGCCCATGGTTGCACACGCACTAGGATTCCCAGTCTTCACTGGTCGTCTCCTGGCAACGGATCTCAACACAGAAACTAGCACTTAAAATCACTTGAAGTCTTCTTGTTTTCAATCACAATTCACCAAGGACATGCTCCATTCTCGTCCTTTTACTATCCAGTGCGTTGTACTCTCCTGGATTCTTTTCCGTGACGGCCTCGTGTCCTTCACTCATTGCTTCTCAGCTACGACTGACTGCAAACGACCTTCACTGTCCCCTATAAATCCGACACGGACACGATAGAAAACATACATTATTTTAGACGTGTTTACAACTCTGTTATTTAGCACTGAGCATGGCGCGGACGACACTGAAATTAAGTAATTTGATAGCTATCTCGCCAGTCCGTTGGCGCGCTTATTGCTGTCTTGCAACGAGGTATAAACATTCATCCTATTGATGCGTGACCTAGCAACGGATTGTTCACCAAGCATTTATTTCACGGGAGTTTGTTTACCAACCCATTGCGTAGCAATTGGTGTACATGTAACGTTGTTCCCTCCTTAAGACTATTCGTCCCGAATAACCTGCAAGCATACCGCCTGTTCTTCCTTTCCGAAGTTTCTGCTTGGTGTCATCTCACTTCCCGTTGCTCGGGTTTTTCTTCTGCGGTGGCGGCTCTCCAACCGCTATCACCGCTGGCTCCCTAAGGCCAGCTAGTCCCGAATGGTTGTCTTATAAGTTTCCAGTTAGTCCAGGTTCTCGCCATTATCCAAAGGTTTTCCTTGTTTCCGACTGCGGGGGCAAAATTATTCCGAGTGGCCAGTGTTCCCACATTCCCGGCTTTTCTTATGCTGACGCTGCTAGTAGGCTTTCCTTCCGTTTTGGAGGGTGCCGACCCCTCCAGAAGGTCTAGTTCCTAATTTTCTGCAACCCAACAGTAGACCTCGCAATTCGCGAGACTATTAATGAGACTTACTACGGTGACAAGATCAGACCACCAGACGGCGAGCGTTTGTCTGGGCTAATGACTCCTTCTGCTATCGGCAGTTACAGCAACAGTCTGTGAGGAATGTTGGGCCTGCTCAGCGGTGTTGCCAGGTTTTCTTGACCGTTGAACAGACACTATTTATCCAAATCTTGTCTCCAGTCACAATAACGTGACAGCTTACCAGAATGGATGCCAATGCGAAGCATCAGGCTGTCGGTGGGTCGATGCCGGATTCGGAACAACTTCACGGCCTCTAGCAGCTGGAGCGACATGGAAGCGATCTCTCCTGCGTGCTGTATCCCGTTGCGGATAGGTAACCCACTCACCTGCACAACACAACAAGAAACGTGAAGTATACTGTGCCTGAAATATCAATGGGCTTACGTCACCAGATAGTAAGACATACCTTGATGTCATGATGAAACTGTTGCTAATTACCGNCCCGAGTGGCCAGTGTTCCAACATTCCCGGCTTTTCTTATGCTGACGCTGCTAGTAGGTTTTCCTTCCGTTTTGGAGGGGGCCGACCCCTCCACAAGGTCCAGTTCCTAATTTTCTGCAACCCAACAGTAGACCTCGCAATTCGCGAGACTATTAATGAGACTTACTACGGTGACAAGATCAGACCACCAGACGGCGAGCGTTTGTCTGGGCTAATGACTCCTTCTGCTATCGGCAGTTACAGCAACAGTCTGTGAGGAATGTTGGGCCTGCTCAGCGGTGTTGCCAGGTTTTCTTGACCGTTGAACAGACACTATTTATCCAAATCTTGTCTCCAGTCACAATAACGTGACAGCTTACCAGAATGGATGCCAATGCGAAGCATCAGGCTGTCGGTGGGTCGATGCCGGATTCGGAACAACTTCACGGCCTCCAGCAGCTGGAGCGACATGGAAGCGATCTCTCCTGCGTGCTGTATCCCGTTGCGGATAGGTAACCCACTCACCTGCACAACACAACAAGAAACGTGAAGTATACTGTGCCTGAAATATCAATGGGCTTACGTCACCAGATAGTAAGACATACCTTGATGTCATGATGAAACTGTTGCTAATTACCGTTGTTAGCACATAATTGGAGGCAAAATCCTTATACAGGGTGATCCAGGAGGAAAGCTCAGAATTCAGGGAGGTCATAGTATCGGCCATTCAAAGCAAAAATGTGTATATGTACGTGTCCTATACCGATGCTCTCTCATACATAGTATACATGAGAAACTACTGTGATGGTAAAAAGACCAAGCTACAGTTACGACACATTTATGTGCTCGGATCTCCTGAATACGAAAATGTAGGAATCTGTAGATCTGGTTTCCTGTGTCTGTGTGGGCGTTTGGAAGCACTTTATTCATATTTCGGTTTTGGTAGTTTGTCCATCATATGTCGGACCCATATAGACATGTGTCCCGGTCGGGTCCGAAAATAAGAATGACTGTGCTGTCGAGGACCAACAGCAAATTTGTCCCATGCGCTGTTCAGGTCGGTGGTCGGTGAATATATGTAATCTAGCTCTAAAAACATACGGGCCTTTCACAAATTCCCTCAAACAAGAAATGTCTATTTTCTCGAAAAAGGCTCATATGATTTTGATAAAATTTTGTGGGGATCTCACGATATATATATAGCCTCTTCAGGTGTATAATTCTACGTCACACTAAGGGTCCAGATGCAAGTGGGGGAAAGTATGTAAAATGTCTTCGTACCGATTTCTTGCGAATAATGTCTCAGTCGGTATAGCGACGGGGTACGGGCTGTACGGACCGAGTTCGAATGCCGGCAGTGCAAGATTTTTCTCTTCTGTACAGCGTCTGACCCGACTCTGGGGCCCACCAAGACTTCTATTCAATGAGTGCATGGGGACCCTTTCCCTGGTGTAAAGCGGCCGAGTCCTGGAGCTGACTACGTACTTCCATCTAGTGCCGAGTTCAAGAATAGTGGAGCTATATCTCCACTCTCCCATACGTTTTCATTGCATAGTGCTTAACTAATTAAGGACAGGGACAGCTTTACGTTATAAAGTACTTATTTCTTTTGTAAAGGATATTCTAGTGACATTTGTTGATGTACAAGTGAGCTCATTTACGTGGAAGACCAAATCCTGTCCCTGTTCGCTGTGTGCACATACTGACGTATATTTGCACAGTTTCTTGTGGGTAATTGAGAACATTTGTGTGTGACAAGTCTCGATATGCCCGGGAATTCCAGCAATGCCAACAGCTGAGAAGTTCTGATGACGTCAACGTCTATCTGCTGCTGCCATGGTGGTGCACAATTAATCATACAGGTCGCCTACAAATTATTTCTGCACAATATGAAGATTTATAAACAGATAAAATGAAAAGTTTCAACAGCGAATAATAGTTTGAATGAATGTAGTATGAGGGCTGGGCCATAAAAATCCGGTCCTTATACTGCGGCCTTCAATGATCTGTTGTGCTTCCCCTTTTGATCAACCTTTTTTCAATCCTATACTTCGAAAGAAATATAAGAATTTGTTTATGGGGGCGTTATAGTAGTCACTTGGGTCCATAAAGAACTGGCCCATGTGACGAAATCTTGAATAAGCTGTGGCCTCACAATCACACAGGATATATGTGGCTGATTCATCTTCTTCTAGGCACCTTCCGCAAGTGGGATCATCTGTCAAACCCAGTTTGAAAAGGGGTCTCTTTAGGTGGTAGTGTCCTGGGAAAGCCCTATCACCCATCGTAATTGGTCTCTGTTTAATTTCAACAGATCCTACGTTCTTCTGGCAGAGAACCTGGAGTCCCTCTGTCTGTCTGTGTCCAGTTACGGACAGTTTACATGAACTCGAACTGTTATCATGGCATTCATGTCGGCAAGTTTTAGCTGTAGAGATTATAGAGCAGAAATGATAAAACTGTCCATGTTAGGTGGGTCCCTTATCACCACGGCATGGCGCGTCCTCAGGTTGCAGCTGGAGGAGACGACCTCCAGTTGTGGAGGGGGGGCTGTGAATATACTGAATAAACAGTCGAGGACAGCTGAAAAAGGGTGGTCCTTAAGCTTGGGGTTTGGCTTGGGTCTAACAACTCCACACCGTAAAAATAAGCTTGTTACGAAAATTTGCAAGAAGCCTCGGACCTGGTCGGATTCCTTGGATAAACGACCCAAGCAAAAGAAAATGAACATGAGATTTGGTACTTGGAATGTTGGAAGCTTTTATAGGGGAGGTTTGTTCAGGGCAGTGGCGGCAGAAATCTCAAAATATAAGTTAGATTTAGCGGGAGTACAGGAGGTCAGACGGGATGGAGGTGGTATCGCACCAGCAGGAGACTATACATTTTCTATGGAAAGGGGAATGCGAATTATGAATTAGGTACAGGTTTTTTTCATACATAAGAGAATCGTATCAGCAATTAAGAGGGTACTCATCACTCATCAGTGATAGGATGTCATACATAATAAAGACATGACGTTAGAACCCGCCTATCGCGGTGGAAACTTCAGATTCTATCAGTTGCGGTGGTTACGGCGCTCCTCCAACTCGATTAGCACGGGTGCGAAACTTCGTCCCTCATATCAGAGAACGAACAGAGACTGGAGGTGTCTCAGAGCGGCATGCTAAGGGTATTATTTGGAACAAAGTGTGAGTAAGAAATAGGCGACAGAAGAAAACTGCCTGTTCGGAAGCTTCATAATGTACGCTTCTCATTAGATATTATTATTATTATTATTATTATTTTTCCTTGGTACTGCAGCCCCAGTGGGCCTAGGCCTACCTCCATGAACTTCTCCGTTCACTTCCGTTTTTCTAGATCTTACACATTCGGTAGGACTCCTTGGGCGGGTGATCAGCTCGTCGCAAGGCCTCTACTTGTATACAAACACAGAAAAACGCACACACACAACCTAAACATGCATACCCTGAGTGGGATTCGAACCCACGATCCTGGTTTTCAAGCGGGCGAAGACAATACATGCCTTAGAACGCTCGGCTACCGTGACCGGCATTAGATATAATTAGAATGTTAAAATCAAGGGGGGTGAGATGGGCAGGACATGAAGTACGCATAGGAGAGAAGTGGATATAAAATGCTGATAAGACAACCGGAATGAAAGAGACCGCTAGGAAGACCTAGGGGTAGACTGGATAGTATTAAATTGTATATTAAGGAAACAGGATTGAGAAACATAACCTGGAATAGCCCGGATCAGAACAGGGGCAAGTGGCGGGCTCTTGTAAACAAAGGTTCCCAAAAATTCTAGGTTTAATAAGATTCTAGAACTTTCTTGAGTAACTGAGCAACTCTTAGCTTATCAAGAAGGACTCAGCTCCATGGACATCCACAACTTAGAATGGCAGACAGAAGAGATGGAGAATTTGAGACGAGACGATCAGAGTGATCGCTCTGTAATAGTGACGTCACTGAGCATGCAACGACATTGAATAAGGGGCAACAGAACGTAAGTAAACACCAATTTGCAAGCACGGCGTTTGTCCGTCCGTCATTCCAGGCTCTCGTTAATTTGGTTACGGCGATAACTCCACACAGTTCGAGGTTAAAGTGTACTGAATGTCTATTGGGTAATCATTGCCGTGATTCTGCCGAAAGCTCTGCACAAGTCAACTCAAGTAGCAAAGCTTCCGTGCTGCACTGTTTCAATATCTGTCATATCATGTCTCTCGGTTCTTCCAAGCAGATATTGTGGCGGTGTCCTAAATTAGGTCACGAATGCCTTATTGCACATCCTTCCGAATTCATTATTGTTTAATCACCCAATAATTTGGTGCTATATATCCTGAAAGCGTCGTTATACATACTAACTAACTTCGTGGAGCTGAGTCTTGAGAAGTCGCCAGTTGTGCAACTATTCAAGAACTTCACAGCATTTTATGGAACCCGAAGGTTCATTACCGTGTTTACAAGAGCCCTCCACTGGTCCCTATCCTGAGCCAGATCAATCCAGTCTATACAACCACATCCTCTTTCTCTAAAGTCCATTTTAATATTATCCACCCACCTACGTCTTGGTCTTCCTAGTGGTTCTTTCCTTCTGGCTTTCCCACTAATATAATATAATTCGTGCTACATGCCCTGCCCACCCCATCTTCCTTGACTTGATCATTCTACTTGGCAAAGGGTACAAGTTATGAAGCTCCTCATTATGCAATTTTCTCCAACCTCCTGTCACTTCATCCCTCTTTGGTCCAAATATTCTCCCCAGCACCCTGTTCTCGAACACCCTCAGTCTATGTTCTTCCTTTAATCCCTTTTCACCACGGCATGATGCGTCCTCAGGTTGAGGTTGGAGGGAACGACTTCTTGACATAGAGGGTAGCTGCCAATACATTAAATATGAAATAAGCAGTCGCTGTTAGCCAATATGGGATGGTCTTCCAGTTTGGGGGGTAGGGCGTGGACCTAAGAACTCCTTACCTTGAAAAATTAGCTTATTACGAAATGTCACAAGAGACTTCGTTGAATAAACTACAAGTATCAATAAAGATAACACTTGAAAGAACATTCTCCGGGTATGTAAACGTCTGGATCAGTGTTGAAGAAAGCTGGGGAATTCATTTTTACGTGATTACATTTGAAACGCATGACGATTGAAGAACTTGGGACTAGTATTCATACAGCCTACTATACCCCAAATTTCCGTTGCGTTGTTTATAATTTCTCATAGCCTGTGTCATTGTCCTTCATGCAGATGTAAAATTGCTGTCGTAAAGCTAGTCGCATTGTGCAGTTACGCTACTTTAGGGCTTCGCGCTATATTTCTTATAGGCCTATATATATTGTGGCGTGCAGCCTAAAAACCAGAATATCTGAGCGGGCGTCCATTGCTAGACAACGGCTCAGTAGTTATGTTTCTCATATAACGGGGCACGCGGTAGCGTAGTTGGTTGAGGGGCTATGCTACAAGCCGGAAAGTCCGGGTTGAAGTCTCAATTGACCTAATCCTTCCAGCCGCACGTTGG